TGTTAATTGCTATGAAAATATAAGTAGCATAATAACTTTGTTGTACCACAAAGAAATTCAGGCAATGGAGCTTGTAAAAGTAGCTACACTGCACTATTCAACCAGCACAACACCATTGATGAATTGTCCAAAGCTTTTTTCAGTTGATACTCTAATTCAATCATGCATGCTGTGTCCTATACATGTACATGCATATATCATTGAAATACTATGCATAATTTAATAATGCGCTTTCGTAAAAGTATTCCTGATAACATCATCTCTAAAGTGGACATACAATTTTATACATAAATTGTTGTTATAGCTATATAGTTAATGTACTTCTCAACATGAGTAATGATGACATCACTTCCATCAGAGTTGAATTCCACATCTGCATCCCTAATATTTTTAATTCCAAAAATTTAGATGTGGCTCCAATGAACTTTGAGCCAATTTGTTTTCCAGATAATTTATTTATTGAGTATTAACCATAATCACCCGAGGAATTGAATGAGGATGTTGTCAAGTATCGCTCCCAATTGTGGCATGCATTGCAACTGAAAGTACTTATTGCAAGGGCTTGAATTCACTTCAGCAGAGGAGACATGTTGAGAAACTAAGTCATCCTGGTCTTTGAGACACAACCTATCCATAATTATCACAAAAACAGTTAAATTTCTACAAAACATGAGTCATGGCTTTTTTTATGGCCTCTCATGGAAGTCAGGACATGTTTAATTAGAGGAACGAGATGGTAAATAGAGAAAAATTTATCAGTAATTAACACAAGACACTTGAAACGTCATTCCCTGTCACTGCTATGCATTGATTGATGACTTATGCTGCATGTTGTAGTATAATAAAAGTTGTTCTTACGTTGTTGCATCACATTTTATAGTTAAAACTGCAGTTACAAGTAGATTTATAGCTTGCATTATCATTGCCTACCTTGAATTACCAGGCAAAACTTTAATATCTTTGTATTATTCTGCTTATTATTTTGCTGTTACAGCAGGAAAGCAGTGTTGAAAAGTAGTCTAGATGGTTAAAATTATCTTGCAATTTTGTTTAGAAAGCTGTTAAATCATCAGAAACATTATTGCAAGCAACCTACAGTGAACTGTTTATTGACAAAATTTTTCATCCTTCTTTCACTTCTATTTTGCTCTCCTAACTATTTACGTCCAATTTTTTTCATTTCCTCTTCTTCAATAAAGAAGAGAAGAATATCAGCCAAGTTTTGTTGCCTGCAACCCTGTAGCAGCTCAATTGTTTACCATTGCCGCCAATGGCTCAAACAGCTTATTCCCACAATGGGGTGTGGCACTTGTCAACATGTTGCAATGATGATTCTTATCCTCAATTCAAACTATGAATAATTATCATGAAAACCAAGAATTCTTCTTTACCCTATAACAAATTAGTAAATGTATCCGTCTAATCACAAATTGTACCACAGACTTGCTAATAGTTATAACTTCTTGAGATATAATTTTCCACTCATTAGCAATTTCCTGTAGCTGCTTAATTATAAATAATAATAATTATTTACTTGATGCTTTTTCTTAGTAATATCTGTCTACTGCATCAGTATTAGCAATGGAGGATTTACATTTGAAACTGTTGTCATCATCATCACTAGAACTAAAAAAGTATTATTGTTTTTGAAATTAATTCATTTTAATTTTCACAATTTTAGACAAAACTATTCCAGAGGAGATTTTTGATAGGTGCAAGGATTTGACATTTTGAGCCATGTTTTAGGTCTTCTAGACCATTCTTCTGTAACTGGATGTTTGAATGAAGCTTTAGCCTACAAGTTTCAATTAATAAATCATTATCATTAAATGCATACTTCTACAAGCTTTCTTTTTTTATTGATGGTCTCTGAGTGATGTCTGCCTCCCTCTCAAAACTTCATAGTGTTCCTTAGTCACTAAATCTATGCTTAGGGTGGTCAATTCTCTTCAATATCAAACTCCAGGCTTCAAGTGTGCCACTTGTTTTATCATCAGCAGTGTTTTGATTTTATTAGACATACAATGGAAGGTTCACTTTTAAAATTCTTACCACTTCATTGATTATTTACCTCATTTGATGGGTAGCATTCTAATTTTAATAATTTTAATTTTCATAATTTTAATTGAAAGCGTTGTATTACAGTGATAGCTACACCTCTAAAAGTGATGTCCCAAATGGGATATGCAGCAACCACTTCTTCTCTAACACCTGCAGCCACTGTGGGTAATAAATTTTATTACGGGGCATTGTTGAGTTTTGGCATGTGTATTGATTGGCAATTCTTTTAGAAATATATGCCAAAAAAGAATTTAGAACTGAATATAATCCTGAGTAAAACCTAAACCTTCCTTTTGATCTTCTGGCTCGTTGAAACTCTCCTGTTTTTGGCAGCATATACTCCTAATTATATCTTCAATCTCCAGAGTTGCCATTTTCACTAAAAAATCTATGTACTCTAAACTAAATGCTGGGTAAATTAGTGCCAGCCTTTTAACAAAGCTGTCAAGACAATTAGAATTGACAAGCATTGAAAATGCATACAATGTGAACTTGTAAGTCTCACTTATTGATGAACCACTATATCAATAACAATTCATAATTTATTGTCACATAACATTAAACGTACAATATCTTTTGTAAGTCATTCGTCATGCTGTACGTAAAATGTGCAATTTATGCAAACACATCCATTTTCGAGGTCACAATCAAGAAAAGCCCCTGTAGCAACTCTATAACATCTGTGGTAGTATTTTGAGAGACTATAATGAAACAAATCTCATGATAGGGACAAAACTACAACCATACTGTGATCAATAACTATCTTCTTAATATAATGACATTTTGTGACCTATAATTATGATACTCAGTTTTTAAAATTCCATAACACGAGAAGCTGCTAGCACGCTGTTATCGGCTGTCAAGAACTCTACAACAGCAATTGGTGGCTCTAGGCATGACCAGTGACCCTGCTAGTAACCTGCTAGTGACCCTGCTGGCCCATGACCAGTGCTAGTAAAACATAGTGCATTTATCAAATTTTCTTTTCTTCAAGGACGCAATTGTGCCAGTAGCATCCAAACAGAGGGTGTTACTTGCTCCAAGTTCATGGCATAGTTGAAGGCCCTCTTCTGTAAAGCAAGTAACACTTGCAGGCGAAGCTTGTATGCTTTGTATATATCTGCAAATTTTTTTGATTGCAACCCACTATTTCATTCCTCGTGCAACTTCAGTATTGATGTGAACAGGTCGAAGTGGTTTCGTTTTTCAAGCCTTCAGATTATATCTTTTGCATAGTTTTAACACTACTCCCCGCTTGATCCCATTTTCCTGAAAGTAACTCTTCCTCAGGGATTGTAGTAACAAGCTGATGGTAAAGGGTTGATGATGCCTAATGTTCCAGTAGTTTTTTTTAATTTTGTTGCTGACCAACCTTGAATGTGACGTGATCTGCATTCATCACTTTCGTGGCAAACATCATTGTTGGTAAACTTGACAATAGCTGATAGGGTGCCCCTCGTAGTACTATCACGAATTGCAACAATAAATTTAATTGGGCAAGATGAAGATGTGCAGTGGCCATAGCATCAAAATAAAGGAGAGATTTTTTGAGACATTTTCTTTTATCCAATGGTACTTGAAGGCAAGAGAGCAGTATACATTCGCTATTGGCAAATAGCAAAGTATTGCATCTTTCCACATATTCTTTGAAAGCGATTTTTGCCAAAATGAAGATTTAATTGTGTGCACACTTTTACCATTGACACTTGTTTTAAAAAACTAGTCTCATTTTAAAATTGATAAGTACAATTGTGATTATTATGAACAATAGAATAATTTACCACAAAAGTGCTTGGTTTCTCTTTTGTAACAGTTGAAACTATCATCATCATTTGCGTCCTGTGAACGGAGATAAGTTAACATGGATTTTGCATCTATATTATACACTGCCAGTAGTGTAGAAAGGGCAGTTGTTTCTAGATCATCAATAGTAGCAGCTACTATTATGTGATGTTATATTTACTACTGACTATAAACTATATTACTTGAAACTGTTGACAAATGATCATCATTCACTGTACTAAGGGTATCATGTATGGGGTGTGAAGACTTTAAAAATATTATATAGACAGTGTTAATCTGCCATTGGATACAAGCTATAGATGTACATAAATTTATGGATGCATCACATACTGATATACATATTATAAATGATAGTTGTGTAGAGATATCAATACACCTACAGCATCTCTTTCTATGACTTCATGTAATATCACGTGATCATCACCCGGCCTATAGCAGTTGTGTCTGAGTGTCTCCTGTCAAGACAGTACAGTACAGAAGATGGCAATGAAGAGCAACCCAAGTAAAAAATGTATAATACCAATAGTTTGTTTATTATAGCCCTTAAATGTGTGAGCAGTTTGAAATAGATCTACAGTGGAACACCTTAAACTCCAGACACCATTTGGATCTACTGAAGTGTCCTTATTTCAGAGGTGTTCTTAATTCAGGGGTGGTGAATAATAGTTATTAAATCATATCAAGGGTAGAGGTAATTCTAATAAAGTCTATGTTTATTTGTCAGTGTATCATGAATTATGTTTATTTGTCAGTGTATCATGAATTATGCATGGTCTTATGAATGAAAATAGTCTAATAATGTAGTTTGTATGCTGCTTGTAAAGGAAAGGCTTGAAGATAAAACTTCATTGAGGAGGATACCAGTGTTTATTGCTAAATCTGCACAATCCCTGTGGTCAAGGTACACTTGCACAACCTCTAAGGACTAGATTGCTTCCCCAAATGACTTTAATCGTGGAACTAATGGCTGTTGTTCCTCCTCTACCTCTTGATCTCTAGCATCAACATCATAAGATTCATTGATATCACCAGTAGTCATCAGTTTAATAAGAAACTGACTTTCCCAGTGTTCAAAATCATACTCCTAGCATGTCGGTATTTGGTTATTGAAGCAAATGTACTCACTGCTGCTTAACAATTTAGGATCAGTGCTGCCGTGCACAGCTCTGATAACTTGGCCAACAAGAATATTCAAATGTGAAACATCTTCATCTAAATCAGCAAATGGATCCGAACCATCAGAAAGAGGTACTACTGTAACACTGAAGAAGTCACCAGATAGAATTCTAGCCTTGCAAAAGCACTTTTTGATTGTTTTAGCCATAACTTCCCTCCATGCCTTTGCAACCCATTGAATTGCAGTAAGCACATTTACAGACTTGATCACATCATGAGCAGTATCACACTCATCAACCACAGCTAAAGCATTAGACAATGGGAATCTGTGGTACTTGATTTTAAATGCCTGAATGATGCTCAAATCAAGTGGCTGCAAAACGCTTGTGGTATTATGGGGTAAAAACACAATCTTAATATTGCTATACCTTTCAGCAAAACTATCTGGATGGCATATGGCATTATCCATGAGTAGCAGTACCGACGACCTCCCTTTGTCAATGAGCTGGCGATTCTTTTTCTTGAGTATCTCATCCATAATTTCCCCCATCATCCAGGCTTTAGGCTGAGTATCTCATCCATAATTTCCCCCATCATCCAGGCTTTAGGCTGGCCATAGTACATGACTGGTAAGTCAGTTTTCTTGATCTTGCTAAAGCAGTGGGAGTTTTCTGATTTCCACACAATTGGAATCTCTTTCTCCATGTCATTAACAAAAAAAGCTGTTGTAAAACGCTGTTTGATCGTTTCCCTCCTCGGCATTGATGAGCACTTTGCCCAAGACCTTTATCACGTAAGGCTTTTCAGAAGCATTCAGTTTTGTCCATATTCCAAATATTCTCTGGTTTGTATTCACAAATCAGCTCAGGCAGCCTCTCCTTCCATGAATCAACAATCTCACCTCATACAGCACCTGACTCACCAAATAATTTCACTTGTTTTATGTTGTATACCTTCTTCCAACGGTCCAACAACCCATTAGATGCTGTAATATCTGGTATTTCCAACAAAAGGGAAATCTGTTTTGCCTTGGCCATCAGCTGGCTTCCATCATGGTACACTTCTTAAGAACAGGCAACTTGATGCCACTTAATAATCTCAATGTATGGAGATGTTCACTTGTTAAGGTGCTTGACATCTGAAGAAGCATTCTGCTCACAGTACATAGCTGTAATGTTGTCTTCTTTAGAGTTTCAACAATTTGGGTTTTTCCACATTTGAATTCCATGGCAAGTTTCCTTATCTTCACTTCAGGGTTTTTGTGAAACTGTACAACTTCATACTTTTCTTTCAGAGTAAGGTCTTTTCTTTTTCCAGAACTTAAGATTTGGTGGAGCTCATAATGTTATTGCAGTACTTCTTCCTGATAACCACAACATTGTGCAGCTGTGCATCCTCACGTGATATGGTGTGGCTAAGCCTGCTAGCTACTTGCAATCTTTGAAACCTGACAGATCAAAAGTTCTACTGCCTGAATTGAATGGATTCTGCAGAGATAAGGTTTTTTATAGAGGTTTCCATGTCTACAAGACTGTATGGACCCCTGTTATAGTAGAAAAATTGGTTATTCAATGTGAAACTAGTAATCCTGTAATACCAGATGTTGCCATGGCAGTAATTAAAGACATAGCAACAGTGGTTGGCCGCATACCAGCCAACTTAGCTCCCATTGTTTGTAGCTCTTTAAGCAGAACAACCCACAGTGGCACGGTCACGATCACAGGATGCTAGGTGAACAGGGGAGCAGGATTTGGACTGGAGATACCATGTGTTGATATGTTGATAGGCTAAATTTGTTAGACAAGATCTGACAACACAATCTTTGCTTTAAAAAGTGCTTATATCGTAATAATAATAATTTTAAAATAAAAATAATTATATTTTAATTCATAATCAGTACTAGCAACAAATTAATTGACCCATTGATCGCTAGGACCAATCCCACTGTCCGCACTAGAGGGGTTAACTTATATACAGCATGATTATTCTGTTTTTCTAAAAGTTTCTGTATTCCGTAATTTGGGGGTTCGCTTTTTGGTGGACTTTTGTACAGCAACAGTAGGAAGGACGTTTCGTTGTACTACTGTTACCTGTAAGTCAAAGGTGTCCATAATTCAGGAGTGTCTATAGGGAGGGGTTGCACTGTACTCTCATTTTGAGGTTATTGATCAGGCTACGCACAGCAACACTAAGTTAGTTAGCCTTAAGTGTGTTGGCTCCATGTAGTGTTGCTGGTGAGATATAGCAGCCAAGAGCTGTTTCCAGGAGTTGTTCTATCCCTGCTATAATATTACCTCATATTTGTTATTTTACAGGACCACTGATGCAAACAAGACGGAGGAAGAGAATAAAAACCCTCAAGGAATTAACTGAGACTAGTTGAGATACTAGTCTGGCCACTATATAGGGCCAAAATACCTGTTAATTAGACGAGGGATAATAGTGACTCTTAAAAATTTTTTAACAATATTAATGATGTTTTAATTCCTTCCTCATTTATCACTTCATTGCAATTTTTAAAGAAACATTTGAATTACCAGTGCAGGTCTAAGTTAATTTAAAATATGAACTGTGATTGTCTCACTAGATAAAAATTTCTGAACAAATTAAGTTTTGAGTAAGTGGAAGCATTGTAGTAACTATTAAAGCAAGGGAAATTAGAGTCTCTTGATTGTGATAATGTTAGTGGATTTCAAATGTACATATGCAATTTTTTTGCTTAGCTTAAATAGATTTATCCAAATGACATGCTAATACAAAATAGGTAGCACTTAGCAGTGGTCAAATCAAATATGACAGCTGAGGAAGTAAAAAATGATGGCGATACTGCACCATGAGCAATTAAGCCTTTTACAAGTTATTTAAAGGAAAAAGTGCATACTATAATCAACTTCATGAAATTACTAAAGGTCAGTGTTGAAAGGCAATTATTGTGATGTTTTATGAGTGATATATTATTTATTGTGATTATTGTTTATCAATTATTATTAATTATTAGTTCTTATTATTATTCATGAGTGTATTCTGTATATAAGAGTAATTTTGTGAGCAATTTTGGCAGAGGATTGAGTGTGAGTTATTGATTCGTTGGGAGATAGTGTGACTGTGGCACTATTTATCTTTATTTGATATTGTTATTTCAACCAGTAAAGCTGGTATTATTTGATTTCAAACATTCTATTGAAACATAATTGTTGAAATTGATAGCAAGCCAGGCATTGGCGAGCTAACTAGTGCATCCTGAGCTGAGCTGACTACTAAGAAAGCAGCTATATGGACAGGCTGGATGGCATCCGAATCTGTAGAGGAGACGCATTGACAATTTGGTCAACATTGATCCAGATTACTGACTGAGCGGCCTAGGATCTGGAACTATACCAGCTGGTAGAGTAACTCTGCTGTGACGGTCTGATTACAGTCCTGAAGTTGCAGCCTTGGTAGAGTACCTCTTTGGGAGTGGTGAGACAGTTCTTCAAGTTATTGCAATATGGGAAGGGCTGGGTTTTTGTATACTTACCTGTTGCTTTACGCCATATTTTGACTTCTTTGTACTGTTGCATGCACGTGGACTCGCAGTGGGTCTTGTGGCTAGTTTGTTGTTTTAGTTTTAAGTACACTTAGCCTACCTCCTTTGTCTGAGAATTCATTTTTTGTATAATAACGGTGGATCTTGCTGCTCTAGAGATAACTCAAGTTGGACATCGTGCCATATCCACTCCAAGGGTAAAGGTGTCTGATCTCTTTGCTGCATCCCCTGGGCCTGATAAAATCAAACTTCGGCAATTGAAGCGTGGCCTTCAGGATACTTTTGATTTTCATATAAAGTTTGATGAACAAATTTTGTCTCTTGTCGATTTGGGAGTTTTGGTTAAGGTGATTGAAGATTCGGAGCGAATCAAAGATGAGCTGTTCCTTGCCATGTCTACTGTGGATCGTGCTGTCTCAACATTGCCACCTCCTATCCACACTAGTACAGGTACATTAAGTCCTGTTAGACCTCCTGTTGTTTCTGCCAAACTGCAAGTTGACAATAAAGTCTTTTCAAGGGAGTCTAGTTGCATGGACCCCTTTTTGCGCTTCCTTCAAGTCAGCTATTCATGATAATCCCAGCTTGACAACCATTGATAAATTTCCTTATCTGCAGTCTTTATTGGAAGGCAAAGCCAAGCAAACTATTGCAGGCCTTGCCCTTACTGATGCCAACTATTCTACTGCAGTTGACTTATTGGTGAAGAGATTTGGCAGCAAGGAGAGGATCACTGCAGCTCATATGGATGTACTGATGAGCCTTGATATAGTTTCTTCTGATCATCACATTTTTGAGCTTTGTCGCCTGTAAGACCTGACTGAGTCTACAATTAGGAGTCTATCTGCATTGGTAGTACCTGTGGACTCTTATAGATCATCGCTGGCTCCTTTGTTCATAAAGAAGTTTCCATCTGAGCTCAGACTTGCTATTGTGCAATAGATTCCAGCTGATGATTGGAACACGACAAGGATACTGGATGTGTTATTAGCAGAGGTCAAAGCTAGAGAGAGGGCCTCCCTACCTAAGACTAAACAGAGTAGTTTTACCAATAAGCGTGGAAAGGATTTTTCCACTGCTGCCACTTTTACTGGAGGTAGCCAGAGTAGTTGCTGCTTTTGCCAGCAAGAAGACCACACACCTGCCCAGTGTACTAAGGTCACTGGAGTTGATGAGAGGAAACGAATGATAAGAGAGCAAGGCAGATGCTTTGTTTGCCTCCACCCAGGTCACATTAGTAAGCACTGTCACTCCTTGATGAGCTGTGCTACGTGTGAAGTGAGACATCACTCTAGTGTATGTATGAGGAACTGAAAGCCTAAATCAGGCCAGAGGCCTCCTACTGCTAGAGATGGTGCTTCCCCACATTAGTCTAAGGGGTTAATCCAGAGACCCCTCCAATTAAAGGATCAAATACGGGTGCGACCTTCTATACTAGTTCCAGAGAGTGTACCCTCCTTCAAGTGGCACGCATTTTTGCCTTCAATCTCATTGAGCCTAGCAATAGAATGTCCTTATATGTCCTATTAGGCAGAGGGAGCTAGTGCTCAAATATTACTAGAAGTGCATGCCAGAAGTTGGAATTGCCATCCCTGATGGGCACTAAATCGGTTTCTATAATGACATTTGAGTCTAGAAAGGAGTGTCATACTGAATGTTTTGTTGTAAAACTCGGTCTTGAGCTGAAGAATAATGCTCATGTGGAGCTTAAGCTGCTCAGAGTTAGCCTCATATGTGACCCTTTGACGTATGAAGCCATAAACTTGAGTAAGTATCCTCATCTCAATAGTTTGGAATTTTCTATTTCATTGGATCATTGCAAGTGGATAAAGCCTGACATCTTAATTGGATCTGACCAGTATTGGTCTCTACTTACAGGTGACATAATGAAGAGTAACAATGAGCCTGTTTCTCTACCCTCATGCTTTGGCAGGATTTTATGTGGTACTTCTGCTGTGACACAGTCAAGCGCACAGAGTGCTACTATGGTCACCCATGTTTTAAGGGTTGAC